CATTCTCAGCCTCAATACTTTGTCAATCAAAGAAGATAAGTGTAACATCCATAGACCAAAGAATTGAGATTTTTCTTTGGTGTCGGTCGACACCAATGGTTAAAATCGAACCGACACCAAAGAAAAATCGAGTTCTGGTTCAATTTAAGTTCGGTTTAGCCCGGTTTGGACCCAGAAAGCCCTAGAACTCGAAATAAAAACGCGCAGCCGTCAAGGGAAGAACAGTTTTGTCGTTTTGCGTGAGAGGAGAAGCTCTAGAGGCGATTTGAGGCGATTGGTGGAGTTTCCTGGTGAATCTGAGGCTCCTTATTGCTGTTCTTCGTTGTGTTCATCTCCTTTCCCTGTTTCTAGCCAAATCAAGGTGAGTGCATGACTGTAGGTCCGCAATTGCTAGATTTGGTTTGATTGGTTGATTGTTCTTGAGTTGTTCATGTTGATTATGTGTTATCTAGTGTTGTTTGGGTGTAATTCGTGTGGATCTGGTGTTTTATGTGATTTTCGTGCTGATTTGTTGAGGGAAGAATCGGCCTCTAGAACTAGTGTCGGTCGACACAAGTGGTTGGTGTCGACCGACACCAAGCGAGTGTCGCTCGATACTGACCGGTTCAGTCCGGTTCAATTGAAATTAAAATTGGTTTAAATTGATTTAATTTAATTGGTTAATCTGGTTTTCTGGTTAATTGGTTTAATTCTTAAATGAGTATTTTAATTAATTAAATGGCTTAAAATAATTATTTTAAAATAAGAATTATTTAATGATTGAGAATTGAAGTTTTAATTATTAAAAATCATTTAATAATAGGAAAATGGAATTTAATAATTATTGGAGTTTATAATAATTATTTAAATGTCTAGTAAATTGCGTAAATGGCCTGTAGGCAGAGTGATTGCCTCACTAAGTATTTATTAAGGCTGATTGGTGTAAGTTCAACATAGTGTTACAGAGTATTACAAATTGTACCATCATATAGGTAACCAATCAAGAAGGTATTACGTTATATGTACCATCAAATTATACTACTAATATTTGTACTACTATATTTCGTACCACTTAAATTTATACTGTTATCTTTCGTAACATCTATTTTTTTTGTAACATACCACTATTCATTATGTTACCAATCGGACCCTAAATACTTATGCAACCCTATTCCAATGTGTTGCAGGTAAAAGGTTTATGTGATCACGGAATCGAGGCTGAAGAGGGGGATGATAGGATGTTTACTGTTTTATTGTTTCGCATCGTTTGATTTGCTAGTACCTGGTGTTTAGGTGGCTAGTATTTCTTTTATTATTTATTTGAATTCATTTGTTGAACTTGATTTATTATTTATTTATTTAAAGACTTCCGCTGAATTGTTATTTAATTTATATATAAAACAAAATCTTGGTTGTTTCAATAAGAGATGTTGAATGAAAATGTTACCAATAACGAAGATGATTTATTCCTAGAAATATTTGATAGTGAGATGCCACACAATCAAGTTCTGGAGACTGAGGTGGTGAAGAAGTGTATCGGGTTAACATTGACGAAACACATCCTCTGAACGAGTTTACCTATGAACAAATCTGACATAGTTCTTCAACCGTTGATCCTGTCCAAATTCCAGCTTCCATAGTTCAAAACCAAAGTAGAGGAAGACGAGGGACTAATTCACAAAGATCTGCAGGAACTTCGCGAGTCTCACGATGGCACAATAGCGGTTTACAAATGCCGTTATTTCGTTAAAGATGGCACAAATATGACGTTATGGTTTACAGTTTTACAGCGCTCTATTATTGTTATAGTAATATTTGTAGTAGCGACAGTTTCGTGCTATATCAATAATTCTTGTAGCTTATTTTGTGCGCTATTTCAAACTCTTTTGTGGCGTTACATTCCCGCTGTTATTATATGCATTGTAGCTCATACATTATGCTACAAGTTAGCCAAACAATGGCTGAATAATTTTGCCATAATAAAAAGTATATATTCGTGAATATGGTTTTAGAAATCGACATGCTGAAACTGAAATAGAAACTGAGAAGATGATTGATATAGTTAAAAATTTATTGCATAGTAGAAAAATTCAGAGTCAAAGAAACATTACAACATAGTACTTAAGTTTAATCTTGCAAAGGGAACATATTTGTACTGTCTTAATTCCCAAACAAAGCAAATCCCAACAGATATGAGCTTCCTCGGTGCCATCTCTTCCTTCAAAAAAAATTAAAAGACAATGAGACTCAGATATTTCAACAAATAAGAACATGAAGAACAAACACCGAGATAATTCAAACTAACAAGGGATCTAGCCCTTCTGAGATTTTAGATATACAAAATATGATTAGAACAATACTTTACAAGGCTCTGGTTAACAAGGTGAGATCAAGTTGTGTATAAGAGTAAAAACGATACTATCATCCTATAGAAGGATCTAGATGATCATGTTATTATTAGTAAATATATTGTATTAACTATTTAGATATTTGTATATCTCTTAGTTTAGGAAATCCTTTCACTATATATATCAATGTATCGTAAAGCTTATAATCATGAGAGTCAATAATACTTCTTCCCATCATACACTCTCATCACATCTAATATCTAATACATCCTGCAGTAAAACTCGAGTCAATTTCTCTACTTACTTTCATCATCAACAGATTTATTTCATCTACTTAGGAATATACATCCTCAGTTACAGAAAAAATAAGGAATATATATCACACACAACCAACCAACGAAATGTCAAGGAATCCAGATAATATATCTCATCCGAATCTTATATGTTTTTTGGCATAAATTCCAGAGCTACTTATATATGACAAGATGCTTAGTTTAACCTAGAACTTGATACATCACTCAATCTACTTTGCAATGGAACTAACCTCAAACACAAAAAAGTACCTATTTTAGATGAATCATATCTGAAGATTGGGGAAGTGATCCAGGTTTTGAGCTAACAGTCTGGCTAATAGAATGGGGCTGAGAGGACTCTTTCTCATCATCAGATATCTGAAGATTTAGTAGACCATTAAGCATGATAGAAAACTAAAACTAATAAAAGACTTTAGTAGAGAGAGACCAAATCCAAATCACATACTTTAGGATTCTCGTTGGTATAAAAAGAGTTAAAATTGTCCTTAGCTCCTTCTTCCTCCATCATCAAATCAACACTACCCGAAGAGGATTTTCAAATCAAACAAAAAGGATTTCAATTCAAGAAAGTAGAAAAAGCTTACATGTAGCTCCTTACGCTGTTGGAATTGCATATAAGTATCTTAAATCTGCACAAAAGTATAAGAATTACATATGGTTCTAACAAATCAAATAACCCAAAACCTGCAATCGTGAATCAATGGTGAGATATTACTACCTTAATCATTCTCTTGTTCATAGGCTTATGAATTAATATCTATTTGAGACAACCTTCTCTGGAGATTTGATATCCATTCAGTTCGCTTTGTCCTCTCTAACAGAAACTCCATTTACTTTCACGTTCTTTTACTGAAGAAATCAATGTGAACTATTCAAAGAATTAACTGTGAAAACCAATTCGTAAGCTCCGGTGGCTCTGTAAAACAAATTCAAGGTTAGATTTTGCCGACAATAGAGTACTCGAAAGTCCTGAAAAAGCATCAAACACAACCCAAATCTCAGACATCAATCAAAAATCTAGCCATTAAAATAATACTCTTCAGCATCAGAAAACTGGAAGCAGAAATTAACTCAGTTCTAGCAAATAGAATGCCTAAACCCCCAAACGTTTTGAAGCTAAGAGAATCATCATACGAACTCGGCAGAACAATAAGCGTTGTAGAATTTCTACCCAAAAAACAAATAAATCAAATAAACAAGAACGTAGATTGATTCCAATCTGAGAAAAGAAGAGTAGAAACTCACAGAATTCGAAGAAGGAATAGCAAGATTGTTTGACTCAGGGGATAACTGATTGAAACAGAGAGAAAAACCCCAAATCGAACGGAACCCTAAATCACCCATAGCGACTTTCCTAGTTCCGGCGACATATTCCGCTAGCTTCATCTGCCTCTCTCCGAGTTGCCCTCTTTCTCCAACACGACAACACAATTACACGGAACCAGGAAAGGAAGAAGAGTTGAAATCAGATCTGCGAGATCGGAGATTGATGAAAAGAGAATATTATTTTTTGACGAGCGGAATTTCTTTTATTGTAGAGGAGAAGAAGATTTGTTTTCTTCTTTTAAAGCGATTATGTTTTGTGAAATAAAACCAAAAGAAAAAAAGAAGGTACAGTACCCAGAAAACGAAGTGTTCTTTATTTTTTTAATTCAATTGTTTTTTTAATGCTATCAATAGTATTTCTTGCTCCAATGACCGGCAAAACATGTTTTTTTTTTAAGTGTTGGCGCCCATGAGATAAAAAGGGTGGATTAGCGAAAATTTTTTTGCCGCTTCTTATTTTTTAGGCATAGCATACGAAAAATGCTATAAAAAGATGAATCTAAACCCAATTTCACTTTTAATAGCAGTTACGAAAATTATGCTATCGTCGTCTGCTATTAATACCTATATTTGTTGTAGTGCACAAGGGAGTGGTGCACGAAGAATTTGGAAAAAACAATCATTTGAGGCAACTTTGACAAATACAATGGCCAGCTTTAGAGAGTTTCAGCGCCAAAGTATTCAACAGTTACGCCCAAATGCGTTTGACCAAGATGATTATAAGGATTTTGATGTGGCTGTGAAGATTTTCGAATCGGTGGAGCTGCCCAATGACACAGACTTTTACTGGGCATGCATTCGAGAATTTAGAGAAGATGCATTATGGCGTAAGTTTTTTATTGTCAGAGCTGCTAATACTTTAGAAGAAAATATACAATTCTTACAGGCCCTAACTGGACTTACACACGATGATGAACGTGTGGAGAAGCTTTTTAAACTCGGGTAAACATTATAGGAGTAGTTCCGGTGGTTGTCATTCAGGTAATCCATCTTCTACTGGTAATAATTCATGGAGTCAGACTTCAAGTAGTCAATGGGGTCGTGGGTTTCAACAATGGAGCACACCACCAAATGCTCAACAATGGGGCACACCACCAAATGCTCAACAATGGGGCACAACACCAAATGCTCAACAATGGGGCACACCACCAAATTTTCAACAATGGAGCACACCAACAAATACTTCACAATGGGAAGCACAACAAAATACCCAACAGTGGAGTTCACCGCCAATGGCTCCACGATGGGGAACACCTCCAAATGGTCAACAATGAGTTCGCCACCGATTGCTCCACAATGGGGATCATCATCACATTCTCAACAGTGGGGTTCGTCGCCAAATTCTTCACAATGGATCCCTCCAATGAATATATTCAACATGGATTCCCAAAGGAAACTCAATATGAAACAACAAGAACTTCACCTCAAAGAGTTTCAGCGGAAGTTTTGATGCCTAATCCAACAAATATGGCAAGAGGAGTTTCACCAGAATTTGGTTTCACAAATAATGCTTCAACAGAACAAATATCACGACCACGCAGAGTAGGAGGATTATTCAACATATATATGGGGAACTAAACGAGGACCTAATTTGAATGAAAGTCATCAGAGCGATTCGAACAATAAAGATTAGATTATTAGCATGTGTGTTTTATTAATAATGATTATTTCTTTTTACATTTTTAAAATGTATTCTATGTATTTTCTGTTATTGATTTCTATTATCAATTCGATTCTAATCTTCTTCATTTTTTTTTATCAAAATATAGTCTTTTCGTATTTGTCAGCTGCGAGCACAAGGAATTCAATTGCTAAATTATGAAGAGAGTATTGAGTTGTGGAATTTGAAAAATGAGCAATTTGAAGAGTTAATAATTTAACTAGGCCTGGGCATTTTTATCCGGACCCGAAATATAGAACCGAACCCGACCCGAAATAGACGGAACCGAACCGGACCGGAACCGACATAAATACCCGAATGGGTCCAAAATTTCTATACCCGAAAGAACCGGATCCGAACCCGAACCGAACCGAAAACCGGACGAGTACCTGAAATATTGAAAATATAATTATATTCTCAAAAATATTAGTTATATGTAGACTTAAAATAACCAAAATATGTAAAATTACAATTATAAACCTAATACAATAGTTAAATTTAGAAAGAAATAACTAAAATATTCAATAAATCCAAAAATATTTAGTTATAATTGTTAATATTCAATAGTTTTTGCTAAGTTCAATAAAATTTCATTCAAATGAAACAGGTTTTAATTTTTATTTTATTTTCTGTAATAAAATTTGGATATCCGGAATCGACCCGGAACCGACCCGAACCCGACCCAAAAACTAAAAAATACCCGAATAGTACTAAAATTTCTAGAACCGAAAAACCCGAAACCCGAAAGGAACCGACCCGAACCCGACCCGAATAACCGAACGCCCAGGCCTAAATTCAACCAGCATTGAGTTATTACAATCGGTATTTTGCAAGGGGACCAGTTCAGACAGATAATGGTTTGGGTTGGAGAAATATTTGGCGTCGATTACAAGAAGATCATGCTGCTTGTCTTCAGTTACTACGAATGTCGTTGAACTGTTTTAGAACATTGTGTGATAAACTGGAAACAAATTATGGATTACAGCCAACCTTAAATGTAAGCATTGAAGAGAGTGTGGCTATGTTTCTACGGATATGTGGACATAATGAAGTTCAAAGGGATGTTGGATTGCGTTTCGGACGAACTCAAGAAACAGTGAAGAGAAAATTCTTTGAAGTTCTTAACGCGACTGAGTTGCTTGCTTGTGATTATATCAACACTCCAACAAGTGAAGAACTTCTTAGGATTCCTGAACGGCTTATAATGGATCGAAAATATTGGCCATATTTTAGTGGATTTGTTGGAGCAATGGATGGAGTTCATGTATGTGTTAAAGTCAAGCCAGAATTGCAAGGAATGTATTGGAATCGACATGACAGAACTTCATTCAACATCATGGCAATATGCGATTTGAATATGTTATTCACATATGTTTGGAATGGAGCGCCAGGATCATGTCACGATACCGCAGTGCTCAACACGGCACAAGAAAAGGATTCTGAATTTCCTTTGCCTCCGGGAGATAAGTATTACGTGGTTGATTCCGGTTATCCAAATAAACAGGTTTTCTTGCTCCTTATAGATCTTCAAGAAACACGGTTTTTCGCTATCATTTGTCTCAATTCGAGAATGGTCCCCCTCCACGGAATATGCAAGAACTCTTTAACCGTTGGCATGCATCTCTACGTTCAGTTATTGAGAGGACATTTGGAGTTTGGAAGAAGAAATGGAGGATTCTCTGTGAATTTCCTAGATATAATATGAAGGTACAAAAACAAGTGGTAATGGCTACAATGGGATTACACAATTTTATACGGATTTCAAATTTTACAGATGATGATTTCGGTGAACAAATGGGACACGCAGAAATGGAGAATATAAATTTTGAGGGTGATTTAGGTGACACAGAAACTACAGAAATAGCTGAGGAGATCTTATGGCGAACATCAGAGATAATATTGCAAAATCGTTATGGGCAAATCGAAATAATCTGTATTAAAAATGTTAAGAATGTGTTGTATATTATAATTTTTTCTACTACTTGATTTATTTTTTGTATTTGAAATTATATTTAAAGTTATATTTTTGTTTAAAATATATATATGCAATATTTTTTTATTATATATATGAACAGTGTTTTGAACCGCTAATTATCCACTTTCACCATTCATAATATATTTTTGAAACATTA